GAGCGTCTCACTTCCATACAGGGGGACAGCAACAGACTCCTGGGTGAAATGGGACAGCAGGGCAGGGATGTCAATGGCTCCTTACGTGGCCACAGCAAAGCCATTGAGGGACTACAACAAGCTGTGTCGACCATGGGCACGGCTGTGAGCGCCATGCCCAAGGAACAGGCCGGGCTCACCGAAGTACAAGCCCAGATGGCGGAGCTCAAGGGACAGTTCAATGAGATGGTCGACGCCATCCGTGAGCTCCGGGATGCTTTCAGAGGCTCCCTAAGGGGGCATGAGCCAAGGTTTGAGCAGGCCCCTATGCCCCAACCTGCCGCACAGCCAAGTGTAATTAATTTGGCCTCGCGTATCCCGGCCCAAGGTACGGGTACTCTGGCTAGGGTCATCCTTACGTCCGGTAGAGAGGTCCTGGCTCCCGAGGATGACATCATTGGGCCACCCCAGAACCCTTACAACATACAGTTTGGTCGCCGCTGAGCTAGCACATGTTCTGGGGCTCATATTCTGTCTGTGACCATGCTGCACATGTTCTGTAAGGGTTCCGCTTTTTCGCAGACAAGATGGGCAATGGCGATTGCAAGTGCATGTGCATGTGCAGTTGCATGTTTTGCAGATACAGTCGCAAGTGCATGTCAAGCACTGCAACACAGTCTTTTGAGGGCACGGGGGCTCCAATACCCCAACACGCATCTGCCTGCTATGATGCCTGTTGCACTCCTTAATTATTTTTACTGGTTGTTTTGTCTGAAAGTAGGCAGTGCGAATGAGCCCGTGGCCCCGTAGCCCACTGAATTCCCCGAATGCGCCTCTGCATGTATAGACAAGTGTGTCCTGCATGTGCTGAATTTATACCATTGCATGGCTTGCATGATACTTTTCTTGCGTGTGAATTTGCGAATTTTGCATGTCATGCATGGAATTCCTGAATGAGTCACGAATACATTTTAATTCATCAACTTTGAATTTGCGCTGATAGCACAACGAGCACAATACACGACATCGCCAGCTGTATCATATATGATAATTCAGGTCCCATCTTGCGCTTTTGGATTGCACTGCCACGAAGCTGAGGAGAGTCCTCAAAACGAGAGCGAGTGCATCATGTTCAAGTGCATCAGTGGTGAGAGGGCCTGATTCATAGTAGGAGCCTGTTCACGTGCGTCAGCTGTGAGAGAGCCGGAATCATGGTAGGAGCCTCAGGGTCCACTGATGTTAGACCTGTGATGGGTGCTGCACTGGCTTGAGACTCTTGATTAAGCGCCCACGTTGTCTGTTAAGCAGTCTGAGTCCTTTGGTCAGTTCATCTATGTGAAGACGGGTGGCCACTGCCCAATTTCGAGCTACGCTCTCTCGCACGCCAAACATCAGCCATTCTCCATTGGTGACGCATGATGCTGGGGTCGCTTGCCTGCTTGCTTTGCCCCCGGGAGTTGCAACACATGCCGTGGTCTGTCTCCGCCATCCTGTTCCTTCTTTTGTAGTCCCTCAACCCGCGACCGTTGTGTGCAGCCATGGCTGAGTACTGCATAATTGCGGCACCTGTGGGCACTACGACCAACGGTGTTGGGCTGGAACAACTTGGGACATAGGCGTGCTGGATGTACTCGGACGACTGTCAGTTGACCGCGCGAGAGTTGAGCATGACAATGACAGTGCACGCGCCACACCTTGGACAGATGCATTGGTTGCGGGATGGCTCAGAGGAAGCCGGAGTCAACAACATGGCTGAACTGCAGAGGACCTGACGACTGGACGCAAATACCTGTGCGCTGTACAGCAGAACACTTCTGCTATGTGGAGCGCCAGCTGCATGAGGAATTTGATGTCGAATTTTGTTGCATGCACCTATGGTTGGAATTTGGCGGCTTGAATTTGCAAATCGTGGCTATGACGGCGAGGCCATGAATGCACGGTTTGGTGCGTTGAGTGAAGAATCTACAAACTGCATGACGAATATACAACCTGCATAACGAGGGAATTCAAGACGGCGCTGGAGGATTGAGGCACGATGCATACTGCATTGCCTGGAGCACGAACAAGCGAATTTACAGCATGCGAATTTACTGCAAGTGGATTGCGAATTTACTGCAAGTGGAACGTCATCCTCCGTGAGGAGGAGCACCTGCAAAGCTGCAGCAAAGGTGGTGGCTTGTGGGATGTAGTCGGAGTGCTTTGGCATTTTGCGGCAACCCCGAGATGTTCGCTGCATGGTGACCCGCTTTGATGTGCAAGTAAGTACAGGTGAGCGTGTTTGTGCTGGCCAGTGGCATAACAGTCCGCTGACAGTGCACTTACAGTGCATGGTCGATGTCTACGCATAGCCTTTTGAAACAGAAGCAGCGAACTCGCTGCGTCAACAAAGACTGTGAGCTGCTGTGACAGAGGGCATGGAGAGCACTCGGTTTGTGGATTTTTGTTCTACTGTATTCCTGCGTTCTGTTTACGGTGGTGCTCGCTCTCTGCTCGCCTGTTCAGCATGTTCACGTAGCAAGCTCGGAACCTCATTGCCATGCCTGCCTTGTGCGAGTGTGTGAGTCGAAACCCCTAAACCCCAAACCCTAAACCCTAAACCCTAACCGACCTCGCCTGTGAGCTTCGTTCTCTGCCATGCGAGAGGGAAAAAACCCTAACCGACCCAGGACTCCTTTCACGCTTCCTCCTGGGAAGATGGTGACCGTGCATAGGCTGGTTGAGGCATCGGATGTTTCTCAGAAAGAAACTCAGCAAATGCTTCAAAACTACAGGGGTCAACTCCATAGATTACAGGCTACCGGGGTGGGCAGTACACGTCTCGTTGCCCAGTCAATTTGCAGAGGAGGGTCATCCCGGGCAAAGTAAGCAAGATCTTTCATAGGAGTTTATGATGTTGTTGCTTGAGTGCGTGCCGCGAATGGATTCTTTGTGTGTTGAACTTGCTTCCAGTCGTGGGTGCATAAGGATGTTTGGCGGGTGGCATGTGTGACAATGCCCAGCCGTGGCATCCCTAACCCTGGGCCCTAAACCAAAATCCCGTCAAGCCAAGTTGAACCCTGTGTCACCCGACCTTTAACCACGGATCCTCGCCTGGCATGTCCGAGTTGTGAGAGCGTAAACCCTCATCCCGGGCTGACCCCCCCCAAACGGAAGTCCGAAATCCTCAAACCCTGAAACCCTCCTTCAATGCACGAGTTGCGAGAGTCCAGACCCTAGTGTGAGTGCCGAAACCCCGAACCGAGCCTTTAGAGGACACCCTATTATAGAACCCTATAGCAACCTTAAAGGGGACCCTATTCTAGAAACTAGAACCCTATAGTACCCCTAAAGGAACCTATGGTATGGGTTTCTGGGTTGTGAGTCATAGAGCCGAGATCTCAGTGCTTGGCACGGCGGGATTCGGTTTCCAGGGTGTCTCAAGCAGTAATATGGGTAGTTCTCGAAGGGATCTATAAGGGTTTCTATCGTTCTCTAAGGGATCTAATGATAAGGGTACTATTTGAGCCGTTTTCTTACGTTAGGGTCCCTTTTATAAGGCCCTTTTACAAGGGTGCCGTATGATTTTGTGGGACCTAACAAGGATCCTCGTTCAGTATGTGACTCCTTCAAAAGGCAGGTTCTTAGGCCATAGGCCATATAAGGGTTTAGGGCTCCAACAAACCATAAACCCGAAAACCCAAATATAGGGTTTAGGGTTTTAGGATTCGAAGATGGGTTTCGCTTCTAGCAAGACCTGAAGCTCCTCCTTCAAAACGTAGGGCATACTAGTGTTTCGGGTTAGCTCCAGGGTTTAGGGTTGAATGGGCTTTTGTTTTTTTTTGGCGGCTTTGCTATGGTTTCCCTAGTGCAAAGTAGGGATTTAAGAGCTTTCAAGTCAAAATCCTGCAAGCCCGACACACCCTGAACTCATTAACGCCGAACAAAAAGCACCTGATGCGGCCTGATGCGTCGAACAATCCCTTAAATCAATCAAAACAACCCCGTAAACTTCCAGAAACCCTTAATCTTTGTCTCGGCTATGGCATTGGAGCGGCAATAGGGCACCTCGAACGCAAGATAATGGAGTCGCGCTGTGCCAATCAGTCAAGCTGCAACTGCAGAATGAAGCGTAGTGCTCGTAAGGGGGGCAACAGGGTCAGCCCTAAACTCGAAACAGTAGGAGTAGGTGAAGCCAGAATCGAAGTTTAGGGTTGGTGGCTTCGGGAAGATTCTCTCTTGGGAGGGGGTTGTGTTTGGGGTATCGGGTTTTGTTGTCAGGGCTAGGAATTAAGGTTTGCAGTAGGTTTTTTTATTGTAGAGTCTCTGGGTCGCTGAGTTCTTCCGCCGCGGTGGCTCTCAGGGTAGGCCGATCCAAGATCGGTGCTTTGGCGGACGGCCTGGGGTGATGACCAGGCACCTGGCATGTAGGCTGAAGGGTTTGAAGAGGATTGAAGCAGAGTTTGTTGAAGCAAGGGATATTCTTGAATCATCATATCTCAGCATCTACGGTGTATCCATGAAGAGAACAACGACGGTTTGACGACGGTAACAACCAGCAGCCTTCCTGCTATTTCGATACACTAGGCCACTAGGACGGCGACTGCTATTACCTTAGGCTCTACTGCTGCTGTTCATATCGGGTCCAAAATCATTACCTATAGTATTTTGAGGGGCTCCTGATGATATTTATAGTACAATGGGCCCGAAAACCCTGCTCTACTAATTAAGGCCCCTATATTACAAGCTTCTACTGCCGCCTTTTTTTTTCTGCTCAGTTGTAGGGCCCCAATAGGTCCCTCGCAACAGTCGCGAAGCCACGCCCCAGAAAGGTCACCGATAAGCCCGTCTATCCTAACCTAAGAAGGCAAAAAACCCTGAAGCCCTAAAGCCTGAATGCCCCTGGAAAAGTTTAGACTCGACTGCTAGACTGCTTGAAGTCGGCAAGGGTTGCGGAAGTATGATGTGTCCGAGTCCCAAAGCCAGATTCCAATTAAAAAAAGGCCAGCTAGTACGTCAGGTTTAGGGTTACCAGCCCCTCACAGGATATCTAACGTCGACTCGGATGACTACTACCAGGCCCGGTCGTGAGGTGATTTGAATCTCTTGAGCAAAGGTGGCCTAAAGAATTACTATATAGGCCTAAATACATACCAATAATATTTTGGGCGTTCTTAATTATAGTTATAGTATAAAGGACCCCCAAACCCTATTCTAATTATTAAGACCGCTACATTAGAGCAGGGCTCCTTTCAGGGTTGCTTTACAGGCCCACTAGGGTTCCTCAAAAGGTTCCTTTAGGGGCTCCTTTAAAACGGTTCGTTCCTTCTTAATAAGTGGAGTTTTCCACAAGGCTTACCGGTGACCGTGCATTTCAAGGTCCAGCAAGGAAGACCCCTTTCTTTCAAGGGTTTAGGGTGTAGGGCATATACAATAGGGCCCTTGGTTCATTACTCAGGTGTGTAGAGTACGTAGTTCAAGGCGCCAAAAAGAAGGTTCTCATGAATCATCCAATTGTAAAGTCCCCTGTAGTTAACCTTACAGCACTGGAAGCTGGCATGTGAGGCTGACACGTAATTGGCACTAACTACACGCACCGTTAGAGGAACTGGCAATGCCACTTCAACTTGCAAGTGTGCCCTACCTTGGACCTAGGGAACACCCTCGCATATATGAACATTAAAAACCTAAACCCCAAAACCCAAAATCCCCTAAACCCAGCAGTCCAAAGAGGTAGAGAACGCAGCACGTATCTCCCGAAACGTAGTGTTTTGTCAGGAATAGTGGTGTGTGATTGTGAGACGGTTCCTTGCTCCTTGGAAGCTTTCCTCTTGCTTATGGATAGTACCCTTGCAGCAGGCCTGGTCCTGATTGGATGGGCTTGGCTTGGCTTATGACCCGATGTTGGATGGCTTCGGTTATTAACTCCCGCGTATCCTGGTAGCGTCCCAGTCGAAGCTCCCAAATCTCAGACTAAACATAGACCCGAGGCCCTCGATCTCTCAAACCCTAAACTCTAAAAGCTGCGGCCTGTGGCAGGTTCTAGGCATCTCCCGGGATGCCAACAACAGCGAGGTGACCAAAGCATTTCGAAAGCTGGCGCTGCAATACCACCCAGACAAGCAGCAGGCAAGGCCGACAGTTTACCGGAATGCCAAACCCCGAAATCCACTTAAGTTACTTAACCCCCTAAACCCCTGAACGCCTAAACCTTCAACCCGAAACTTCAGTTTTGTATGATTAGCCACTAGAAATGGCTGTGGCCGGGGTTCTTTCGGAGTCCATCTCTTCAGGGGTTGCGCGTTTAGACTCTGGGTTGTGCTGCCGGCATGTCGAGGTGCAGGTTTAGGGTTTGAGGGTGGTGCGCGATCTCGGCTGTTCATGGCGCCTGCCATTAGCCAGCCAGCCAGCCAGCAAGCTCTCTAACTCTAATTGCATCTGCAAATCTGCCCAAAGTCCGAAAGTCACTCGAAGTCAACCTTCCTCACTATTAGCGCCCCTGCATGAGAAGCCAGACCCCAAAACCCTTGATCCCTAAACCCTAAACCGTAAAACCCTCAACCCTAAACCCTAAACCCCAAACCCTAAACCCCTAATCCCTAAACCCCAAACCCTAAACCTTAAACCCCAAACCCCAAGCCCCTAAAGCACATGCTCGCAGCCTCCCAGGACAAGGAGAACAAGAACGAGTCCGAGGCCAAGTTCAAGCAGATCTCAGAGGCCGGTTTAGGCTTGAGGGTTTGGGGTTTAGGGTTTAGGGTTTAGGGTTTGGGGTTTGGGGTTTAGGGTCTTAGGGTTTAGGGCTTAGGGCTTAGGGTCTTGGGAATTAGGGTTTGGAGTTTAGGGCTTCAGGAGTTTAGGCTTGGAGTTCGGGGTTGTAGGGGTGTAGTGCTTTGAGTCTAGCGTTTAGGGGTCTTTTTTGTTTTTCCCTTTTTGGGGTTCAGTGGTTTCGGATTGAGGCTTTAGGGTTGTGCGTAGTGGTGCAGGAGCACTCAGCCATCTTGGATGGAAGGGTGTACATTCGGATAGTCGTGCAGATCCCATGCCTGATGTAAAAAGAAGGCGGGGACGGAACCGCGGACCGTTCAGTCGTTGTCTTCCTGCTTCTAAGAGGTCTCGGGTTGCATGCGCACCGTGTAGCGAGCCGCTATACATTTACATCAGATCATGAAAAGGCGAGGCAACGGAGCTAAGCCGCCCTAAACCCCCAAAAACCTGATGTGGGTCCTGGGATCCACGGGAATGGCGTGGCCCCCGAAGCTCGGTCACCTTGTCTGTGCATCATACAATTTTCCAGAGCTCCGCAAAAGAGCATCTCACCTTACCAAGCAGGATACTACTACCTACTTAGGTAGCTGACCATGTACTGTTGCATTGCACTGGTCTTTCTCGCGTCGTGCCGGATGACTTCTGGTTAACGGACAGGTTGGAAGAGGCAGCTTGAAGCATAGCGATCCAATAGCACATGTGCACTTTGTCAAAGAATGACTCTCAGAAGGACCAGTCCCGGAAGGTAGGGATCTAATGTAGAATGAAGTGCTGTGGAAAAGTGCGTAAATAGTGCAGGCAGAGGAAACCAGAGACGCTGTCGCGTATGAAGCTGAAAAGCAACCTTCCCGGGTACAGGCCTACGACACCTTGCATGACCCGGACAAGCGCAAAACATATGACCACTTTGGAAAGCAAGTTGCAGGTGCTGCCGTCAAGGGAGGTTTGTTCCGAACCGGGTAGCCTCTATGTCATGATGAGTATCTGCCGGAATGTCGAGGAGTATAGGGAATTTAGGGGTCGGCATCAGTAATAACATTCGGATCCCGCCGGAGGCTTGATGGGCTTAGTTTGTAGAGCTTTGTCCGATTCAGGAGTTCGGAGCGAGCTCTGACTGTTACCGAAGGCCTGTTCCTCGTCATGCCTTTCGTCTCCATTGCAGTACCCTTTGCGTGTTGAAGCCATCGCTATATAGTCAGGACCCTACCTTTTGGGATCCTAAGTTAGGATCCTAAGGAACTACATGTTTTCCCTAAGCCCTAAACCCTAGACCCTGAACCCTAAAAGGAACTACGCCCTGCCAAGCCCATGTCTGGGCCCGGCCATGCTCGGGCAAACGCAACCCTATAGAATCCTACCTTAAGAACCCAAAATCCCCCCTTTTTTGTAGGTTCTTATTATAAACCCTACTATGGGATTTCTAGGGACCCTACAAAAAAGTAGGTTTTGGGTTCTTAAGGTACTCCCTAGACTCCCTAGGCCCTAGAATCCTAATAAGCCCTCTAAACCCTACAGATAGACTCCTACTCCGTAAGACTTGTAGAACCCAAAAAAGCTCGCTATAGGTAGAAGCCTACACCCGAAACCCTAAAATCGTGAACCCTAAACTAAACCTTGAAGGGCCTCGCAGGGAGTGCGGAGGGTCCAAGCCCTGTATGAAGTCTAAACCCGGGAATTGTAAACCCGAGAGCCTTAAGACTGCCTTGGAGACCCTTCTTAACCCCACTTTTGGCTCTCTGAAACGGGACCTTATTGAGAGGGTCTATATCCCCAAGGGTCCCCCTAAGCCTTATTCCTATAGGCGCCCGAAGCCCCAAATCCTGTCAGAACCATCAACCCTGAGCAGCAACCGAAACCTGAATCAAAGCAAAAGACCCTAGATGAAACCTAAACCGCAAATCTGCCTGGAGGCGCCAAGACAACGCGCATCAGTGCGGAGGAGCTAGACTTCCTCTTCGGCAGCTGTCCCTCGCTTGCTCTTGGCGCTCCGAAGTGCATGCCGGCATGCGAGCTGAGGATGCAAGAACTTGCTCTCAAGCATCATGCGATGAACATACTTTTGACCATGAACTCTGAATGCATAGTTCGGGGATGTTTAGGGGGTAATGTGGGTTTCACCCCGCTGTCATTTTGGCGCAAGCCTTTGCAGCTCTTCGTTGCCCCTCTGGCCTCCAGCGCTCCGCACGATGCCACGCTCGAGCCGCCCTCTCGTTTGCCTGTCCCTTGTGGCTGCAGGCTACGTGGCCACCCAGCTCGCAGCCTTTGTGGCTGCGCCCGCTGCGCCAAAAGCTCCTCGAACGCAGCTCCAGGC